GGTGGCTAGGAGATGTTGACTAACTCGCCCGGTCGACAGGAGGCCGTGGGTTTGATCCCGACCCTGACGATGCCTGTTGCTGTATATTTGGAGTTTGCGTGTCTCTCTCTCATCATCAACACGGTGGCTGGGAGATGTTGACTACCTCGCCCGGTCGACAGGAGGCCATGGGTTCGATCCCGACCCTGACGATGCCTGCTGCTGCTGTATATTTGGAGTTTGCGTGTCTCTCTCTCTCATCATCAACACGGTGGCTGGGAGATGTTGACTACCTCGCCCGGTCTACAGGAGGCCATGGGTTCGATCCCGACCCTGACGATGCCTGCTGCTGCTGTATATTTGGAGTTTGCGTGTCTCTCTCTCTCATCATCAACACGGTGGCTAGGAGATGTTGACTACCTCGCCCGGTCTACAGGAGGCCATGGGTTCGATCCCGACCCTGACGATGCCTGCTGCTGTATATTTGGAGTTTGCGTGTCTCTCTCTCATCATCAACACGGTGGCTGGGAGATGTTAACTCCCTCGCCTGGTCTACAGGAGGCCGTGGGTTCCATCCCGACCCTGACGATGCCTGCTGCTGCTGCTGTACATGCGGCAGGGCAGGTGATTCGTGGCGGTGTGCTCACATTTGCCGGAAGCCGCCGCTGGGATGTCCTTGTTGGAGCCCGACAGCCGGATCTGTCCGTACTTGTCCTGCAAGCACGGCAGACGCAGCGACACGCGGATCACACAGGGGATAACACACGCACACACACACGCACCGTGGCTAACACACACACACACACCGTGGCTAACACACACACCGTGGCTAACACACGCTCACACACCGTGGCTAACACACACACACACCGTGGCTAAGACACACACACACTGTGGCTAACACACACACACCGTGGCTAACACACACACACACACCGTGGCTAACACACACACACACCGTGGCTAACACACACACACACACCGTGGCTAACACACACACACACCGTGGCTAACACACACACACACCGTGGCTAACACACACACACACCGTGGCTAACACACACACACACACCGTGGCTAACACACACACACACACCGTGGCTAACACACACACACACCGTGGCTAACACACACACACTGTGGCTAACACACACACACACACCGTGGCTAACACACACACACACACCGTGGCTAACACACACACCGTGGCTAACACACACACACACACACACCGTGGCTAACACACACACACCGTAGCTAACACACACACACCGTAGCTAACACACACACACACACCGTGGCTAACACACACACCGAGGCTAACACACACACACACCGTGGCTAACACACACACACACACACCGTGGCTAACACACACACCGTAGCTAACACACACACACACACCGTGGCTAACGCACACACACACACACCGTGGCTAACACACACACACACCGTGGCTAACGCACACACACACACACCGTGGCTAACACACACACCGTAGCTAACACACACACACACCGTGGCTAACGCACACACACACACACCGTGGCTAACACACACACACACGCACCGTGGCTAACGCACACACACACACCGTGGCTAACACACACGCACACCGTAGCTAACGCACACACACACACACACCGTGGCTAACACACACACACACCGTAGCTAACACACACACCGTGGCTAACGCACACACACACACCGTGGCTAACGCACACACACACACACACACCGTGGCTAACACACACACACACACCGTGGCTAACACACACACACACCGTAGCTAATACACACACACACACACCGTAGCTAACACACACACACACCGTGGCTAACACACACACACACACACCGTGGCTAACACACACACACACACACCGTGGCTAACACACATACACACACACCGTGGCTAACACACACACACCGTAGCTAATACACACACACACACACACCGTAGCTAACACACACACACACCGTGGCTAACACACACACACACACCGTGGCTAACACACACACACACACCGTGGCTAACACACACACACACACCGTGGCTAACACACACACCGTGGCTAACACACACACACACACACTGTGGCTAACACACACACACACACCGTGGCTAACACACACCACACACACCGTGGCTAACACACACACCGTGGCTAACACACACACACACCGTGGCTAACACACACACACACCGTAGCTAACACACACACACCGTAGCTAACACACACACACACACCGTGGCTAACACACACACCGAGGCTAACACACACACACACCGTGGCTAACACACACACACACACACACCGTGGCTAACACACACACCGTAGCTAACACACACACACACACCGTGGCTAACGCACACACACACACACCGTGGCTAACACACACACACCGTGGCTAACACACACACACACCGTGGCTAACGCACACACACACACACCGTGGCTAACACACACACCGTAGCTAACACACACACACACCGTGGCTAACGCACACACACACACACCGTGGCTAACACACACACACACACACGCACCGTGGCTAACGCACACACACACACCGTGGCTAACACACACGCACACCGTAGCTAACGCACACACACACACACACCGTGGCTAACACACACACACACCGTAGCTAACACACACACACACCGTGGCTAACGCACACACACACACCGTGGCTAACGCACACACACACACACACACCGTGGCTAACACACACACACACACCGTGGCTAACACACACACACACCGTAGCTAATACACACACACACACACCGTAGCTAACACACACACACACCGTGGCTAACACACACACACACACACCGTGGCTAACACACACACACACACACACACCGTGGCTAACACACACACACACACACCGTGGCTAACACACACACACCGTAGCTAATACACACACACACACACACCGTGGCTAACACACACACACACCGTGGCTAACACACACACACACACCGTGGCTAACACACACACACACACCGTGGCTAACACACACACACACCGTGGCTAACACACAGACACACACACACCGTGGCTAACACACACACACACACCGTGGCTAACACACACACACACCGTAGTTAACGCACACACACACCGTGGCTAATACACACACACACACACACCGTGGCTAACACACACACACACCGTGGCTAACACACAGACACACACACACACCGTAGCTAATACACACACACACACACCGTGGCTAACACACACACACACACCGTAGCTAACGCACACACACAGACACCGTGGCTAACACACACACACACCGTGGCTAACACACACACACACACCGTGGCTAATGCACACACACACACACCGTAGCTAACGCACACACACACACACCGTAGCTAACACACACACACACACCGTGGCTAACACACACACACACCGTGGCTAACACACAGACACACACACACCGTGGCTAACACACACACACACCGTAGCTAATACACACACACACACCGTGGCTAACAAACACACACACACACACCGTAGCTAACACACACACACACACCGTAGCTAACACACACACACACACACACCGTAGCTAACACACACACACACACCGTAGCTAACACACACACACCGTGGCTAACACACACACACACACACCGTGGCTAACACGCACACACACCGTGGCTAATACACACACACACACACCATGGCTAACACACACACCGTAGCTAATACACACACACACACACACCGTGGCTAACACACACACACACACCGTGGCTAACACACACACACACACACACCGTAGCTAACACACACACACACACCGTAGCTAACACACACACACCGTGGCTAAGACACACACACACACCGTAGCTAACACACAGACACACACACCGTAGCTAACACACACACACACACCGTGGCTAACGCACACACACACACACCGTAGCTAACACACACACACACACACCGTGGCTAACACACACACACACACCGTAGCTAACACACACACACACACACCGTGGCTAACACACACACACACACACCGTGGCTAACACACACACCGTGGCTAACACACACACACACACCGTGGCTAACACACACACACACCGTAGCTAACACACACACACACCGTGGCTAACGCACAGACACACACACACCGTGGCTAACACACACACACACACACCGTAGCTAACACACACACACACCGTAGCTAACACACACACACACCGTGGCTAACGCACACACACACACCGTAGCTAACACACACACACACACCGTGGCTAACACACACACACACACACCGTGGCTAACACACACACACACCATGGCTAACGCACACACACACACACCGTAGCTAACACACACACACACCGTGGCTAACACACACACACACACACACCGTGGCTAACACACACACACACACCGTGGCTAACACACACACACACACACACCGTAGCTAACACACACACACACACCGTGGCTAACACACAGACACACACACCGTAGCTAACACACAGACACACACACACCGTAGCTAACACACACACACACACACCGTGGCTAACACACAGACACACACACACCGTAGCTAACACACAGACACACACACACCGTGGCTAACACACACACACACACCGCCCGTGAAGCGGGCCTTGGTAGCCGCGATGATTTTTCATTTCCACACCGCGGCTCTCATTCCTACGGCCGCACCCGTTGCTTTACCCCCCCCCTCCCGCTCAGCTCATCGCTCTGTCTGAGAGTGACACCACATGCTGTCATCGCCTTGGCCAGTTTTCATTATAAATATTATTATTACCAAGTTCTGGGCAAATCTTCGGTCGGTCGGTGGGACGATCGACAGGCCGATGCGTCACGCTTTTCTCTCTCCGCCCGAGTTCCTAACAGCGGCGCAACTTCCCTCCGACTTCTCGTCCACGTGCGGTTTCATCTCCACCAGAGCCACCCCCCCCCCCCCCCCCACGTTAGAGACGGACGAGGCTAATGGGGTTTGGCGTTGGTGCGAACATCGTTTGGCCAAGCGTCACTAAATTATGAATCAACTGTCCGGCGGCTTGCGATTGATCGGACGAGGCCGGAGCCGTTGAACGTCGCCGGCTTTGCCACCGGTGGCTGGGAGATGTTAACTACCTCGCCTGGTGTGCAGGAGGTCGTGGGTTCGATGCTAACACAGACGCCTGCTGCTGCTGCTATAGAGTTTGTGGTGTCTCTCTCTCATCATCATCATCACGGTGGCTGGGAGATGTTAACTACCTCGCCTGGTGTGCAGGAGGTCGTGGGTTCGATGCTAACACAGACGCCTGCTGCTGCTGCTATAGAGTTTGTGGTGTCTCTCTCTCATCATCATCATCACGGTGGCTGGGAGATGTTAACTACCTCGCCTGGTGTGCAGGAGGTCGTGGGTTCGATGCTGACACAGACGCCTGCTGCTGCTATAGAGTTTGTGGTGTCTCTCTCATCATCATCATCACGGTGGCTGGGAGATGTTAACTACCTCGCCTGGTGTGCAGGAGGTCGTGGGTTCGATGCTGACACAGACGCCTGCTGCTGCTATAGAGTTTGTGGTGTCTCTCTCATCATCATCATCACGGTGGCTGGGAGATGTTAACTACCTCGCCTGGTGTGCAGGAGGTCGTGGGTTCGATGCTGACACAGACGCCTGCTGCTGCTATAGAGTTTGTGGTGTCTCTCTCATCATCATCATCATCACGGTGGCTGGGAGATGTTAACTACCTCGCCTGGTGTGCAGGAGGTCGTGGGTTCGATGCTGACACAGACGCCTGCTGCTGCTATAGAGTTTGTGGTGTCTCTCTCATCATCATCATCATCACGGTGGCTGGGAGATGTTAACTACCTCGCCTGGTGTGCAGGAGGTCGTGGGTTCGATGCTGACACAGACGCTTGCTGTGTATTTGTCGTTTCCAGGTTTCTCCCTGTGGTTGCGTGGATTTTTTAAATGGCTTCCCGGGTTTTCCCTCCACGTTTAGACGCAGGCATTGATATTATTTAGATTATTTTGCTGCTATAAATGTCCAAATGATGGGCAACTTTGTTAAGCTATCATTTGTGGCCAGGTTACTTTGGAAAAGTAAGCGAATACCCCAGTGGGCTTTGCCTGGTAGGACGGGGATGGTTTCGTGTTGTATCTGTTTGTGTTTGGGCGATTTGTTTACCTGACTTGGACTTCCCACTCCCATCGTGTTTGTGTTGTTTGTTGTTGTTGTTGTGACGTTCTTACCCGGTGCCCCTACTGGACACCTGTGTAAAAGAGCTTCATAGCTCATCGGATTCCCCGTGCAGTAATAAATAAGCAATAATCTCATCCCGATGACCGAAGTCGTTTTTTGCCGGCTTCGGCGCCGTGGTGGTGGCGACGGCGGTGGCTTTGCTAAGACTCCGGCTCTCACTGCCGCTGCCGCTGCTGCTGCCAATTGAGCAATTTGGCGGCGTTCAGCGTTGGGGATGTGGTTTGGCCAACGCTGGTCACTTGAGACGTTCACAGAAGCGAATCGTCGATTCTGTGAACTGCCGCGGAACCCGGAAGAGAACCCACGCAGAGCAGGGAGAGAGAGAGCACACTTACTCACTCACACTCACTCACTCACACTCACTCTCACTCACTCACACACTTACTCTCACACACACTTACTCACTCTCACTCACTCACACACTTACTCTCACACTCACTCACACACTTACTCTCACACACACTTACTCACTCTCACTCACTCACTCACACACTTACTCTCACACACACTTACTCACTCTCACTCACTCACTCACACACTTACTCTCACACACACTTACTCATTCTCACTCACTCACTCACACACTTACTCTCACACACACTTACTCACTCACACTCACTCACTCACACACTTACTCTCACACACACTTACTCACTCTCACTCACTCACTCACACACACACTTACTCTCACACACACTTACTCACTCACACTCACTCACTCACACACTTACTCTCACACACACTTACTCACTCACACTCACTCACACACTTACTCTCACACACACTTACTCACTCTCACTCACTCACACACTTACTCTCACACACACTCTCACACTCACTCACTCACACACACACTTACTCTCACACACACTCTCACACTCACTCACTCACACACTTACTCTCACACACACTCTCACACATCCTCTCTCACACACACTTACTCACTCACACTCACTCACTCACACACTTACTCTCACACACACTCACACTAACTCACTCACTTGAACACTCACTCTCACACTCATTCACTCTCACACACACTCGCTCACTCGCTCACTCACTCACACTCACTCACACTCACTCACAATCACTCACTCACTTACACTCACATCCTCTCTCACACACTCACACACTCGCTCACTCACACTCATTTACTCACTCACTCACACTCACACTCGCTCACACTCATTTACTCACACTCATTCACTCTCACACTCACACTCATTTACTCACACTCACTTTCACTC